TTTTTCAGTATTTTATAAATAGAGTATTTTTGAATTATATTTTTAAAATTATAATTGATTGGTTATTAAATAAAAAATTTAGAGTGAAATTTATTAAAAATTCATAAACTTTTATAAAATCTGAAGATCTTCAATTTTACTATATATTATTAAGTAAAATTTATAAAATTTGGTAATTTATTATAGGGCAGTGTATTACTGATAATTTCTAATTTTTACACAGTGATAGTGTAATTTTCATGTCAAAAATTTGAATATAATATTTATATGAATTTTTGTTATTTCTTTATCAGATTATTTTATAAATAATAAATTTAATATTTAAGAAGAATTTATCAAAAATGTTAGCAAGTATTTTATATAAAAAAGTTGGATTTTTATTATATTTACTTTATATTTTTAGATTTTTGTACATAAAAATTATTTGAAGTCTCCTTAAAACACTATGAAATTCTTTAAATAATTACGTAATAATGATTAAAGATAGTTATACAAATATTTTATATAATAGTATTGAATTGATAATCATATCACTTTATATAAAAATACGTAACTAATTTTATTTTACTATATACAAAGTAATGTCAAGTGAAAATCCAAATAAAAGAATATACAGTATAGGCCTATCTTATTTTTATCAGACTTATCTATATTGCAATAAAAACTGTAGTTATACACCTTGTAAATATAAGAAAGAAAAAAGATAATGAACTTTATTATGTAAAAAAGAAAAAAAAATGTTATTCAAGAGTATATCATACTAATGATGAAAAACTTTTTAATTCTTAGCAAATAAATAAGTTAAAATGTGTGAACAATTATTATGACTATAATAATGATTTTTCTGAAAAGTTTAATTTTTTTTTATGTACTAGATGTAATAGTAAATTTTATCAGTTAGGTAGACAAGATGAAAAGACCCAAGAGGTAAATGCAAATCAATTTTCTTTATTGAAAATTATATATGATAATTCACCAGTAACTGTATTAAAGTCTGCAAATCAGAATACTTCTACTATTACACCAAATAATGTGTTAGAATTTACAAATAATTTGAGACAAGAAATTAGTTTAACTTCACCAAATTCTTTTTTGAAAATAATGACAATGTAAGTCTAGAATTATCAACAAATAAAGTTGAAGAAATTGAAGAAATTGAAATAAATTTCAAATTGATCATTAAAGCAGTAAATAAACAATAAAATGTAGTTAAATAAGAAATAATTATAACAAATAATTTTCAAAGATTTAAAAGTAGATTGAATATGTTAATTTAAGAGCAATTTAAAGATCAGGTAGTATTTAGAAAAAATTATAGTATCGCATATAAACAGGAAAAAGTAATAGGACCAGAAATTCAATTAACAAACAAAAAGGATTAGAAAAAATTTTTGAGAGAAAATGAGCGAATTATTTCCAATAAGAAAGTTTTATTAATTTTGGTAAAAATAAAGAAAGATCCAAAAAAATCTAAATTAAGGTAATAATTAATTATAGTAATTAATATTAAATTATAATATATTTATTAATCATTATTTTTATTAGAAATTTTAACAATCAGGAAGGGTTAGAAAAAACAAATAAGAAAAACAAATAATCATCTATTTCAAGTTCTTACAATTAAATCTCTAAAGAAAAGAATATTAATGAAACTGATGCCATTATAGCATAAAATATTATAGAATTACATTCAAAATAGCATTGTAAAGAATATGATAAAAGTAGTTATGTTAATTTAACAAGGCATATTTCTTTAATTACTAATCATTTGTAAATTTAGGCTAGATCTATTATAAGTCAATTTAATATTATAATATTAAATGTAAGTTAATCTAATATTATTAAAATTTAAAATTAAATTAATTAAATTTATTATGCATAGCAATATAATATTGCTACATTAGATGATCCTTCAACATTACCTTTATTTGATATTACTCATAATTCTACAAAAAAAAATTAGTAATAATATGCAAAATATGCAAGCATACAATTCATTTTATTTATTAGCTGGATTTTTCCCAATATTTTTCCATCCTACTATGCTTAAGCAATATAATAATGATTATAATTTTTGACAAATAGTTTACCACAAATACAGCAGATAAATAATTCAGATCAACTTCTAATTATTCACGAATTTTTGAAAATTTAAAGAAAACTTATGGTAAGAATAATTTTAATGAAGTAAAAAATAAATTTTTATAGGAGAAAATTGATGTTTTGGATATACTTAGTCTTAAAGATTATGATTGGCAAAATTTAAGAATAAAACTTAGTGTAAAAACTAAAATAATAAGAAAGATTGAAAAATATAAAAATTAGAATTTTTTTCTAATTTTAAAATTTATAATGTATATATATCTATTAATAATAAAGTATTTTGAAACCATAAAATTTGTAATAAATTTATTTTTTTTAATTCATCAAAGTTATAATGATTTTTGAAAATATGATCATATTATAGAAGGTGTAACATGTGTACAAGTAATTGCTAAAGCAAAATATGAATCAGAACTCTCTCTTACAAAATTTCTATGTCTTTTAATTCAACTTTTAATTGATGAAAATACTGTTTCAATTGGATTAAAATCAGGTAAGTATGGTGAAAGATAAATAATTTTATATCTAATTGATTCTATCAAGTTAACCAAATATTCATCATGATGGATTTGTGTATTGTCCATTACCAAAATGCTATTTTATTAAGGAAATGCATTCATATTTAAAAGTTAAGAAAAATTAAAATTATATTAAATTAAATTTATAAAAAATATAAAATTATATGTAAAAAACTCATCACTTTGACAAGAATAAAATTATGAAACCTTTTCTTACTATAACTACCTTTCATAAGATCTAACATTATAATACTATTTAAAAATAATACTGGAAATATAGTATATCTTACTTCTCTTAAAAATACAACTTTTTTAACAGCTGCTTGATTTTGTGGTAAATAATCATATTGATGACAAGTAGTACATTTATCTTTTGTACTTTTATCAATAAAAATCAACTGTTCAGGCTGAAAATACATTCCAATAATCATAACATAATACCTACATAATATCTCACTCTATTCATTTACAGCTTTTTCTAACTTTAAATTATAAAAACAAAATTTATTAT